GCTTGCACTCCTTGCATTGGAATACCAGGCATTATGCATGTTAGAGTATGCTCCTACTGAAAAGTGAAGTAGTGGAAAGAGAAGTTGCATGAGTCCCCTCCCTGTGTCGTCCTAAGTAACTAAGAACAGTAAGAGCAGCTAAAGGAGTAAGAGAGCTCTTAAGGCAGATTGGCTTAGGAGCCTAAAGAAGCAGATAGGTTTCTTGGAGAATTGAATGAGGCTTAAGAGAATGATATTGGGCTATTGGAATAGTCTTGGGGAATGATCAATCAAGTTACCAACTAAGTGGAGGTGACTTATTTTATTACTCAACCCTATGGTCAAAATCTCCCAGAGATCTTAAAGTGGCTCAAAGTGATGATAGTAATCCAGGGTCACCATGGATCCTGAAGAAGCTTATAGTAGAGTGTAGTAGCCCTCAAGGTCGCAGTAGATCAAGCCTAAGGGAAAGTGGCTAAGCCATAAGAATAAGTATACAGTACCTCTTTGGGAAGATGAAAACTAGGGATGAGTTTAAGATACAGAAACCTCCTTCAGTGGTAGACCAGTACAGAGAGAGTACCCCTGACTTCCTTCCAGATAACCTTATCATTAATTAGGCTAACCTTAATTTTCTTCAGATTGAAAGAGGAAAGCCAAAGTTAGAAAATTTAGAGCGGTAAGACTTGAACAAGAGGTATTCAGGCTAGCCCCAAATACAGGAAGAAGCCCTTGTGATACAGTGATAAATTGAGTATTGACGAGCAAATCCCTAAAAAAAAAAAAGGGGCTAAAGTTAGGAATGTAAACTGGAAAGACCCGACTAAAGGTAGAATAAGAAAGGTCTAAGACAGCAAAGTACAAGGTTTCGAGCCTATCAGCATCAATGCCTCATATTCCTGTCAACACTGTTCAGTTAAGCGTGCTCAGGCAAGAGTAGCCCAAGGAAGGGCAACCCTGGGAAGTAATGTAAGAAAGTGCAAAGGCTAGAGATGTTAGCCATTTTTGGTAAGAGTGCACTAAGTCCAGCAAGATATAAGATAAAGTTAAGGTAAGCAAAGATAGTCTAAAGTTGACACAAGGATTGAGTAAGGTCCATAAAGATAATATCAAATGTACCTTACCGGATAACTCCAAATGAGATAGCGAAGTAAAGGAAACAAAAAGGAGATTCATTAGACCTAGCGTATCTCCTAAGGTGCTCTAGTACTCTTCATTAAAAGGAAGGATGGTAGTCTAAGATTAAGCATAGACTACCGAGAGTTGAAGAAAGTGACAGGAAAGAATAAGTAGCCCTACTGCAGATTGATGATATGCTAGACTAGCTGGTTGGAGTTATGGTATCTTCTAAGATCGATTTACGATCAAGATACCCCCAGCTACGGATAAAGGTTGAGGATGTTTCGGAGATTGCTTTTAGAACCCGTTATGGACGATATGAGTTTTTAGCGATGCCGTTGGTTAATGAATGCCCCTGCTACTTTCATAGATTATACGAACTGGATTTTCACCCGTACTTAAGTTGGATGTCATAGTCTTTATCGATGACATTTTTGTGTACTCTGAATCTCGAGAGGAACATGAGCAACAGTTAAAGACTATTCTGAGTACACTAAAAGAGAAACAGCTCCATACCAAACTTACTAAAGGTGAGTTTTGGTTAAATGAAGTTAGATTCCTAGGCCATACAATTAAGAAAGAAGGTGTGGCTGTGGATCCTAGTAAAGTTCAAACAATGCTCAACTGGGAACAGCCCAAGATGGTAATAAAGATAAGAAGTTTCTTAGGGCTGAAAAGTTACTACAGGACTTTTCTGGGAGTGCCCAATCGCTAACCAAGCTTGCCAAGAAGAATCAACAATTTGTGTGGGATAGTAAGTGTGAGGCGAGCTTTCACAAGCTGAAGCAAATGGTGACCTCTACTACAGTACTAGTGATCCCTGTAATATCCTTAAAAAAAAATTCAAAAAAAATAATTGAAAAATAATATAATATAATATAATATAATATAATAATATTTTATTATAATATCCAACTTTCCACCGATTTTTCGGTGGAAAGTTGGGGGGGACGGTGGGGGTTGGGGGTTGAAGGTTGAAAAACCCCCTCCCCCCCCAATAAATGTGCGGGGGGTGTAAAAATACACCCCCAGCACTTCATTTTTCCCCGGCAAACGCAAGAAGAAAGAGAGAAAGAGAAGAAGAAAAGAGAGAAAGAGAGAGCTGAAGTGTGTGAGAGAGAGGAGCATACCGGTGAAGCAGAGGGCAAGCTTTGAAGATATTTTAGGTACATGAAATTATCTCTTTTCATCAAACTTTCTTCATAAATATTTCATATATATTTTATGCTTCCTAATAGTAGTATTATCATAGTGATTAGAGAAAATTTTGAGACTTATATATAATATAAGTAATTAGTTTTTACAAAAGATGACTATCGAAATTTAGAAGTTAATGAGTTGTTAATTTTAATCGGTTAGATTTGTCCATTTGTTGGTTTTTAGTATTTAAATTAATTTTTCTAGTTGAAAAATCTGTTATATATGATTTATATTATATTTTTACCGATTAAATTCAAGTTAAGTAATTTATTTGGATTGTTTGATATATTATTGAGATTTTAATCGGTTTAGTTTTATTTATTGGGTGACTGGAGGTTTTAAAATAATTATTGTAGCTAAAAATTTTATTATTTATGGAAATATATATATTGTAGTTATACCATTAAAGTTTTGATTAGATTATTCATTTATAAATATTTGAAGTATTATTGAATTTTTGATAGTTTGATTTTGAGGTTTAAACTTAAATGAGGATTTTTAGAGTTTATAATATAATAATTTTATATTTGGAAATTGTTGAAAATCCTTTTTATTAAGGTAAATAATTTGGAGGTGGTAAATAAATAATTTGGGGTTGTTAGAAATTTTAAGTTGTTGCTAAAATACTTAATAATTTTTGGGTTATGAGAGTTGCGGGAATTTAGAGTAAAAATTTAAATAATATAGAGAAGTTTAATTAATCAATTAATTAGTTTATATTAATATGTGGTTATATTAATTGTGTAGATTAATTATTGGTTAAGCAAAGGATTGACCTTGTGGTAATTCTTAGTATTGCTTTGGCGAGAGGTAACCACTTTCCACTTGTTATATGTGCTAATATGTTGTTTGTGAGTATTTTGCTATTTTTGGAATAATATTTGATATTTGGAACTTGAGTAGATATGTTATATCTTTTGAGCTATGAAAATTGTCTTGTGGGATTTTTGGAATGTTGATTGAGAAGTTTGGAAAAGATATATGATTTATATCTTATTGATTATACTGAGAAAAGATTGAGACATTTTATTATATTGTGAATGATTAGTTGTTATTTGGATTTTGGATTGAGTCCTATCCTACCACGTGGTAAGGCCGCCATTGGTGCACATTGGTTGGCTTCTTCTTTCATCCCCCATGTGAGGGATAGGCCTTTGTGGCTTCTTATTCGTCCCCCAAAGTGAGGGATAGGCCCATATGGTTGATTGATCCTCCAGAGTGAGGGATAGACTTATGTGGCTTGTGTGTTGGCCCCCATAGTGAGGGTTTGGATGATTGAAATTATATTTCTATGGATATATCTATGTTTCTCGAGAATTAATAACTATCCCACTTGACACCTCACGAGCACGTGTTAGTATGTATGATGAGTTGGAAAGCTGGTTACTGAGACATTTGTCTCACCCCGTGGTTTAACATTTTTCAGGTGATAGTTCAGGTGGTGGCCCATCAGGGAAGGCTTCGGAGGCATAGTGTGCTGTTATAGCTTGTATAGCCTCCCTGCTTTTGTTCTATGTGCTGACTTGTTATATATTGCCACATAGGGCTCATCTACTATCATGATGTAAAATAATACTTTTAATTACTACTACCTGGTATGATAGGGCGTGACGAGGCCCGAGGCATTTTAGACTCTGCGTGTAACGCTCCTTTGAAAGTATTGACTTTTGACTAATGAGCTCTATAGTTTATATTAAACTGATTTATCAGTTCGTATGGTTGAAAATATAAGTTTGGTTTGGGCTAATGGTTGAATGATATTTCTGGACTTTGGAAGTCTAAGGCCCAAGGTAACGATCGATGTTACTCTTATTATAAGTTTATTTCTTTTAACCATGATAGCGATTTTAAAATTTTAAGGTTTCTTCTTTTTATCATGGTTAATCATTCAAATAAATTGTTAGATTTAATCTAAAATAGTTTTGAAAGAACGGTTGTCACAATCCCAGATCTGACACTATCGTATGTAGTGTGCACAGATACGAGTAAATAGGGATTGAAATACGTACTGGTGTAGCAAGGCAGAGTTGTCACCCATAGCTCATGACATCTAAAGCCTTATAAGGAGAATTACCCCACATATGACTTGGAGCTAGTAGCAATCGTTTATGCCTTAAAGATGTAAAGGCATTATTTGCATAGGGCAACCATAGAACTGTTCTGTGATTATAAGAGTCTAAAGTACTTGTAAGATCAGAAAGAGCTGAATATGAGGTAGAGAAGATGGATAGAGCTACTAAATGACAATGACCACCAGATCAAGTACCATCTGGGGAAGGCCAATGAAGTGGCTGATGCCTTCAGCAGGAAGGTAGTGTAGGTGGCAACCCTAATGATTAAAGATGGTGGATTGTTAAAAAATATAAAGGATTAGGGTCCTATCTGTCAGATGCAATTGACATCTGATGTAGCAGGAGCAGGAATAAAGGTCTTGTTGATTGATCAGATTAAAGGAGTTCAAATAAGAGATGAGTTAGCAAGGACTCTTCAAGTTAAGGTATTAGACTAGGAGACAAGAGATTTTAAAATCTCAACTAAGGGAATATTAAAGTATAAAGGAAGAACATAGGTCCCTCTAATAAATGGTCTCAGGTAGCAAATTCTTGATAAGGCATATAAGAGTAAGTACATGATTCAACCGGAAATGACCAAGATGTACCAAGACCTTAAGCAGAGGTCTTAATGGCCCGATATGAGACAAGATGTCACCCAAGCCCTACGTGCTAGAAAATAAGGATAGAGCATCGAAAATCATCAGGATTTCTGCAAACCCAGATTTCCCTGAGCAGAAATGGGATAGGATTTCCATGGGTTCTATTGTAGGATTACCCTGTACATCGTCAAATCACGACGTGACATGGGTCATAGTTGATCAATTGACAAGTTGGCCCATTTCCTCGCAATTAAAGTTAAAGTATTTGCCAGGAAAATTTGCAGGGTTATATGTTAAGGAGTTCGTTAGACTTTATGGGGTACCAAAGGACATCATGTCAGATAGAGACGCAAGGTTTATGTCCAGATTCTGGAAAGATGTAAGAAGCCATGAGAACCCAATCGAGTCCCAGTATGACTGATTACCGCAACTGGATGGGCAAACAAAGTGAACGATTCAGAAGACATGTTGAGGGCATATGTCTTGGATTTTAAAAGAAACTAGAATGAGTACTTGCCACAGGCGGAGTTTGCTCACAATAATAGCCATCATTCTAGCTTTCAAATCATCTCGTTCGAAGTAAATAGGACTGTTTGAGATTTTAGAGTTATAAGCCTCGATCAGAATAAATTCAAGCATGCTAAATAGGGAAAAAGAAAGGGACATTCTCCTCGGGTAACCTCTTAGTGATAGTCAAACTAGAGGTTTAGCCTTAGAATTTCGAGGATGAAATTTTTGAGAGGGGGAGAATTGTCACATCTCAATTTTGAGGCCTAGGAACCCTGAAAGTAGTCTAAAGAAGGCAGGATACTAAGCCTTTTGAGCAGAAATTTCAAAGATGAGAAAGGAAGTCAAAAGTAGTTCAGGGACTAAACTGCAAAGTGAAAGTTTTCAGGGGCTCAAGCATAATCAAGGCTAGAGGCTTCAGTAGAGTCTTAAGGGCCTAGAAAGAGAAAAGAGAGTAGAAACAGGCCAAGGGTTAAGTTAGAAACCTCAAAGAGAGGATTGTATGAAGCTAAATCCAAGCAGGGACTAAATTGTAAATTCAAAAAGTTATGACCAATAGGGGTAAAAATAAAAGAGTATATAGAGAATTCCAAGAAAATCCCAAAAAATGGGAAATAATATTCTAAGGCTCGTTTGTGAAGAGAAATGATGAAAATACCCCTGAGACAACTTAAATGGAATTTATAAGGTTATGACTAGTAAAAAGACACTATTTGAGGTAATTATTTAAAATAGCAAGAGACCTCAAAAATGTATGCAAAAATAAAGTTAAATGGTTGAAAGGTTATACTAATTTATAAAATTAGTCCTGCAACCAAAAGGCCAATGGAATGCCTTTAATAAATTAAAGAGCCAATTATGCCGATAAAAGGGTATTGTAGTAAATGAAATTTATGCAAGGCTTAAAGGAAGTGTTATGGCCTGAGAAAATTGACAGATACTCTCTAGAATAAAAGAGAATTTTGGAGTAGACAGAAGAATTTTTTGAACTTTGGAAGGCCATAAAGAATGTCAGAGAAACGTGGGCCAAGTAAAATAAGAGGAAACTTAGGGAGCGAGTTTTGATCCAATGGCTAGAATCTAATCTCCCTTCTCCTCTTCCACTCTTGTGACACTTGGTACCTTCTAGAAGAATGAGGTAAGGATGATGCAAGAAGATGATGTAATGATGATATAAAAGTTAACTTAATTAAAGTTTCCAAAATTGCCCTTACCCTTTCTATTAGCTACCAAAGGCATTTTGGTCCATTCAAGCCAAATTTTTTGCTAGAAATAGGCACTCCTTGTAACACCTTATGTTTATACCAAATAACTTATCTTGTAAAAGTATTTGGAATCACTTTTGAAGACTACAGGTTATGAAAATTCAAGTATGAAAATTTTCATTTATGGGTTACTATTCACTGTCACCCTAAAATATGACAACTTTGAAAATTCATAACTAATTATAAAAAAAATCAAAATGGAGTGATTCCAAGTTTTATGGAAAGCTTTTTGGATAAAATTGTGAGGAAAAATAGTTTCTGGATTGATTGCCTTGAAATTCGAGCCCAATTTTCTTTGAAAAAGTTACTGTTCATTTGGTCATTTTCGGATTTTTACTTTATTTTTGCCTAACTTTGGAAAGGCATAACTTTCTGCTCAGTTATCAGAATTAGGCAAACTACCCCTCATTTTAAGGAGAAAAATAAGATCTCTTTGCTTGCCAGATTTCAAAACCTAACTCACTCGTTTACTCAAATGGTCATTAGTCAAACTTTAATCCCTTTTAGTTGACTTTTTACCCCCTTTGGAAGGGTAACTTAACTTAATTGACCACTTAACATCATAGCATACTCTCCTTAGCTATATTAGCTATTTCTAATCATGCTTGGACTATTTTACTCATACTTGTATACCTCTAGTCTTAATCATACTATTGGAAACTTAAAGCATGCTTCATATTACATTCCTCCAAATAGAAAGGTTCAAAGCCATATAAAGTTACTATGGCTTACTACTTCTTCAAGTAAGAGCCAACTCCTTTCCGTTGCCCTTAGATGTTGAAGGCCCTAGGGTTTGTTTAAATATTGGGGTAAGATTCTTGGGAAATCTTAGTAGCAATTGCATACATTATCAAGGTCACACAATACATTGTAAATCAAGCTACATAGCATAAGCCAAGGCATAATTTGCATCGAGGCAACATCATATAACATAACATTCTCATCCACCTCATAGCATAACAGGTTAGCAAAACTCTTAGCCATAATCATACAAAGTAAGGTGACACTCTAACATAATGAATTGCAAGGCTATCTTGAATGCTTTCCTTCCTTTTGAACTCTTTCCTCTTGACTAGATCTTTTCCCCTTTTGTTGTGTATAGCCTATTAGGCAACCAATGACACAACATTAAGTATTATTACAACTTCATAACCTAACATAACCCCTAAAACCCCTTTTTCTTGATTTTTAGGGTTTATTTTTCTCGCTTTGATTCTTGAACTTTCTTGGGCCTTTCCTACATAATTTTTCATGTAGAATCCATTTACCATATTAGTTTTATGAAAATTCAATCCCTTCCCATTGAACTTGACTTGGCCAAACCATGTATATAATTATAGGGAAAAGGATTTTCAACCAAACTAACATGTAATTACTTAATCCTTAACGTTTAACCATGCTTAATCTTAACCATACATAACCTAAACCCTTCCTATCCATTTTGAGGAAATCTGGGCAGCACTTTTCCTTAGAAAAATGATTTTTCATCATCATTAAAATAGCCTAAAACTAACATATCATTATTATAACTTGAAATAGAAGAGTTGTAGAAGCTTACCTTGCTTCCAAATAACTTTCTCTCACTAGAACTCTTCTCTTTCTCTCTCTACATGAAAATTTGCAAGAGGTTTCATACTTGAAAGGCTTCACACAAGATGAACTTGTGGGGGGGTATTTATAGGCTTCAAATTTCACTAATTCCACATATGCCCTTCTTGCATAAGACTTAATCTTAGCCCTCCAATTTTTACCTTTTTCCACATGTACAAATCTTAGGCTATGTGGGTTAATATGTTGATACTTGGATGGTGAGTCACTAGGGCTTATGTCATCTCTTCTTATCCATTAAGATTAATTAGGCTTTAATCAAGGTTAACTCTTTTAATTCCTTGATTAATGTAACATCCAGACTTTTGGGCCTAAAAGCATCAAAAGTAGCCTGAATTGGATAGGCTACCAGATCCTTTTTGAGCAGAAGTCCCAAAGATGAGAAAGGAAGTCAAAGTAGTTTCAGGGACTAAACTGCAAAGTAAAAGTTTTTCAGGGCCTTCAGTATGATCAAGGTCAGAGACTCCAGTAAAGTCTTGAAGGCCTAGAGAGAGAAAAGAGATTAGATATAGGCCAAAGGTTAAGTTAGAAGCCTCAAAGAGAGGATTATATAAAGTTAAGTCCAACCAGGGACTAAACTGCAAATTCTGAAAGTTATGACCAACAGGGGTAAAAGTGGAAGAGGGTACAGAAAATTCTAAGAAAATCCTAAAAAATGGGAAATAATATTCTAAGGCTCTTCTATGAAGAGAAAAGATGAAAATACCCCTGAGGCAGCTTCAACGGAATTTATGAGGTTATTACCGATAAAAAGTATACCATGTGAGGTAATTATTTAAAATAGCAAGAGACCTCAAAAATGTATACAAAAATAAGGTTAAATGGTTGAAAGGTTGTAGTAATTTATAAAATTAGTCCCGCAACCAAAAGGCTAGTGGAGTGGCTTTAATAAATTAAAGAGCCGGTTTTGCCGATAAAAGGGCATTTTGGTAAATGAATTTTTATGCAAGGTTTAAAGGAAGTGTTATGACCTAAGAAAATTCATAGATATTCTCTAGAATTAAAGGGAATTTATAAAGCAGACAGAACAATTTTCTGAACCCCGGAAGGCCATAAAGAAAGCCGGAGAAACGTGGGCCAAGTAAATTCGGAGGAAGCTTATGAAACAAGTTTGATCCAATGGTTAGGATTTGATCTCCCTTTTCCTCCACCACTTTTATGACACTTGGCACCTTCTAGAAGAATTGGGTAAGCATGATGTAATAAGGTGATGCAATGATGATGCAAAAGTCCACTTGAACTTCCAAAATTGCCTTTACTCCTTCTTCTAGCTACCAAGGGCATTTTGATCCATTCAAGCCAACTTTTTGGCTATAAATAGGCACTCTCCCTCCCCCCATTTCGGCCAAGCTGATGAACATAAGGGGAAACTCTTGCAATTTTGATTCTTGAAGCTTAAATCAAGAGGAAGACACCTACTTTGATCAATCGAGTTTAGATCTGAGGTTAGTAAGTTGTTCCCTCTTGTTTATTGCTTTGAATCTTTGGTTTTATGGTTAAAAAAATGTGAGATCCCCTAAGAGGAGGTGCTGGCCAAATTGACATAAGCTTAGGGGAGGATGATTTTGATGTTAGATCTAGCTAGAACACATTGATTAGAGGTTGTTTCAAGTGGATCTATGTGGAAATTGGAAGAATTACGTGCTGATTTGATCCTGTTTCGAATTAGTTACTATGCATATCTGATTCTCAAATTTTGTATGCTTAAAATACACTCTGTGAGCTTTAAATCCATGGGTAGAACACTTTATTTGGATATGTGTACAATTTATGGTGATTTTTCAAAGTTAGAGATTGAAATCTGGAAACAGTGTTGAACTTTTAGAAGAGTGTCGAGTTCCGTACAATTCCGGTGCTGTTCAGCATATAATTGGCTCCTAAAACTATTTTTCCTTTAAATTTAACTTAATTATATTTCAGTGAGACTTGAAAGCACTCAATTTGGATTTTTCTAGATTTAATTATGAATTTTCAAAGTTGAGCAAAAATTCTGGAGATTCTGCGTGAACAGTACCCGCGAACCAAAATTTCCAGATTTGAT